ATGTTTTTTGGCATTTCAAGCCATTCTGAATTGAATGACACCAAATTTGTGTAGACGGATTTTTTGCCGGAAATCGACGTTTTCTCAAAAACAGCTAAATCGATTTCAAAAATTTAAAAGCCATTCGATGTATCTCGATGACGACTAGTGTTTATCAATATCGCGTATTTTGCGCGACGATCAGCCAAGCCGTTTCTTCGTAAATAGCAGAAAAGTGAAAAATTTTTTGTCCACGTTTTAGCAATACTGTATCGATTTTGAAAAATTCAAAAACCGTTCGAAAGATATTAGTTAGGAATCATGCTGATTAGTTTTTGGTGAAGATCGGCCGCGCCGTTTTCTTGTAATGAAGTGTTAAAAAAAAATTTCGACAATTTTTATGATTTTTTTTGCGGTAGATACTATAGTCTTAGAGATCATACTAAAATATTACGGCCCTACGACAAGTCGTTTAATTTTAAAAATTCGTCAAATTTGAAAAAAATATTATCGTTTTTTTGGCATTTGTCAAAATTAGAACTTTCATCGATGTTTCCTCAAACCGACTTCAAAGATTTAATCGATGTATTTCGAAGTGGATTATCTTTTCTCAGTTTTGTGCGACGATCGGCTGGGCCATTTCTTTGTAAATAGCAGAAAAGTGACTAAAAATCGTCTACGTTTTAGCTCTCAATTCTGAATCGATTTTAAAAAATTAAACTCTGTTCAAAATATGTTGGTTGGGAATAATACTAATTAGTTTTAGGTGAAAATGTACAGAGCCGTTTTCTTGAAATTAACTGTTGAAAAAAAAATTTTGCCGATTTTTATGAACCTTTTTTGGAAATATATATTATGATCTTATAAAACATACTGAAATGTTGCGGCCATAGAACAAATAGTTTAATGTTAAAAATTCATCAAAGTTTGAGAAAATATTATAGTCAGAATTTGTGTCAAAAGTTGCTCATGTGATGTGATGAGTCAAACATTGTCAAATCATTAAAATTTAAAATAATAAGTTATAATTTTAGGGCATACAAGCACGTGCCTATAATTAACATAATTACAGTTAATTTAAATGTGTTTGAGAATTTTTTTTTGAAGTCGCAATGTTTAGATTTAATTGAAAGCAATAAATTTATTTTTGAAATAAACAGTTAAAAATTTTATCTAAATATCTAAATTTCAATTTCGATTGATTAAGTCAATTCTCACACATTTCGGGCATGCAGCTTGCCTTAAGGCTAACTGCTACTTTCACCTAGTTGTCATGCTGATCCGGAACGGTAGGGCGGGAGTCTGCTAAATACCATTACATTATCGTATTTCATATAATTACGAAAACTCAAATATTATGTTAAAAAAACAAAAATACATTTTAAGTTTTTTTTATTGAATTAATTAGATTTTAAATAAGAATTACAGACTTCTAGTAAGAACTTTGCTATTTGATTATATTATATATTCTATATATACTCTTATTTTACTTATGAGTTTCTTGTATTTGTATGAGGTCATATATTTTTTTATTCATATGTTTTATTGCACAAAAAGTACCGGTATACAAGGTGAAATTCCGGGACTGTTCCGGCCAAACCAGGACATATGGTCACCTTACCTTATTTCAGGATATTATATTACATAATATATTATTATTATACACTTCCTTAAAAATTTATTGTAAAATCCATACGCTTTTATTATAATAAAGATATTGTGGTACCCATCGGAGCGCCGAAAATTTGATGGTGAAATGAATCATTAAACTAGTTGAAAGTGGCATTTAGCCCAAAGGCAAGTTGCATGAACTTCCCGAAAAGTGTTATATTTGACTTAATCAACCTAACTTGAGTTTCAGATATTTAGATAAAATTTTCAACTGTTTATTTGGAAAATAAAGTGCTTAAATGTACGGAAATTGAAATTTATTGATCAAAGTTTCAATGAATTGACGATGTTTGACTTGAACATCACAAAAGCAACTCTTGACACAAATTTTGACTGTAATATTTTTTCAAACTTTGATAAAATTTACAAAATTTACTACTTATCGCAGGGCCGTAATATTTCAGTGTGTTCTACAAGACAGTGATATTTATCATGAAAAAAACTTTCATAAAAATCGGCAAAAAAATTTTTATCAGTTAATTTCATGAAAACGGCTTGGTAGATTTTTACTAAAAACTCATCAGTATCATTCCCAACCAATATCTTTCAAACTTTGATTTTTTAAAATCGATTCAGAATTTAGAACTAAAATGTGTTGTGATATAGTTCATTATATATATACACACACACACACATATATATATATATATATATATATATATATATATATACTGTTCGCGCCAATCAAAGCATGCGGCTATATTGATATAAAAACCAAAATCAATTCAATCAATACGTAATCAAAAAACAATATTAAAATTATTGTAAATACACTTATAACTTGTTATTAATATAAATTAAATATATACAGTTATCAATTAAGTGTTTTACATATGGTCCTTCGAAAAGTAAATTCAAATTCAGTCAAAACAAGATCTTAAAAATCATAATGGAATTTTGCACGTTGGGGTTCAAATCAAAACTCAAACCTAAAACTTTAACTTATTACAAATGTCACCCCATAGCGCTGTCCAAAAATCCATTCATCTATCAATTATCGATACCATACCTACACATGTGTATTTAAATATTATATCTTTACTACTTATATTTGTTAACAAGATTAAATGAAAAAATGGAGGCTTTTCTATGTTATTTTATCGCATGTCTCTTAAACACAAGATATAATGAATATAGTATTATATTCGAACTAATATCTGATTTAGCGACAAAATGGTTGATGCATAAATCTTGCAAAATTTATTCATAAAACAAAACAATAAGATTTGCTATGAAATGTTATAAACTTTTGAAAATAAATCGAACTAAAACAAGATTACGAATAACATGGAAAAAGAAACTATATCGTGGAATCATATTCAATCATGGCTTATATTTCAAACCTCAAATTATTCACACTTCGGAAGAATTCAGACACAGATCGGAACATAGTTGAATGTTGCTTAAGATCCAAACAAAAGATCCTGATCACTTCCATATTCAAAAATCTTAAACCTCAACTTGCTATGGGTCAATGCTTGATATTTTCGAAAACACGCTAGCTCATTAGCAACTTCAAAATGTGTGCAACAAGAGCGTGTGGAATATGGAGTCAGTTGTAGACTTTTCTCGTATGCAGATACAAACACCATAACCAGTTCAAGGAGACAATGCTACGGTGCTCCAATAAGATAATTTAGAAAATATTGAACTGATTATTACTAATTTGTCTTATAATTAAAAAAAAAAAAAACTATGATTTCTAATAAGAATCAAGAATTGCAGTTCATGGAATATGAGTGTTACCAAAACCACTAACATTTACTTAATTAATTCACACTAATGAAGATTACCAATTATTTTGAAATCTATATTTCAAGGCCGGGAGAATGTTCGCGCCAATCAAAGCATGCGGCTATATTGATATATAAACAAAAAATCATCTATCAAAAAATTATACAAATAAATCAATCAATCAGATCGTAATCAAAAACAGTATTTAAATTATTGTAAATACACTTATAACTTGTTATTAATACAAAATAAATATATACAGTTATCAATTAAGTGTTTTACATATGGTCCTTCGAAAAGTAAATTCAAATTCAGTCAAAACAAGATCTTAAAAATCATATACTCTTATATAAAAAATTCTTCTGTAATGATGTATGTAAATATACTCCTCCTAAACAATTATTCAAATTTTAATAAATCTTTCTGAAGTTTGTTAAAGGATTTTTTTAGGATATATGTGATTGTCAAAATGTACATAGTAATATTGTAGAAAAAATCGGAAAAAATGCAAAAAACGACATGTCAATGACATTGAAAATATTTGATACATTGTTTGGCATTAAAAAAAATGAAAACTGTCATCTGCAAAAAATTTCAATGTATAATAAATTCATGATTATGAATAAGAAAAATATAATGTCTACATTATTATTGCCGAAAAGGAGCAAAAGGAGCATATATATATATATATATATATATATATATATATATATATATATATATATATATAGATATGAATATACAAGTTATGAATTAGAAAACTATATTATATTACTCTATGAAGAGGATTGGTGTATAATTAAATAAATAATAAATCACATGCTCAAAATAAATAAGTAAAATGTTTCAGAAGCAATATATCAATTGGTAATAATTTTAATAACAAACTATAAAAACAGGTAAAATAATAGGGGGAGTGGGGCCCTAGAAAAAAAATGGCATGCGGGCGCTGAAAACCTCAAGAATAGCGTCTCCGGTAATAATGTATATTAAATTATTACTAAGAAAATTGTAATTTAGATATTATAGTTACTAAAAACCAGTTAAAATATAATACGAGATTATAAAAATCATTATTGAAACAATTATTTTGGGTGAAAAAATGCAAAGTAATATTGTACTTTTACCGCCAATACTATATTTTTTTCTGAATTTGTTAACCGTTTAAAAGACTTCAATTTTTAATATAGTGTGGGAATTGAGACTCATCATCTTACAAAGCAGTTTGCATGTATATGCATTTTGGTGGGAAGAGAAAATTAAAAAACAATAATTATTATTTTTAGATAAGCGGTAAATATTAGTATAGAATATTGAAAAATTGTAGACGTGGGTACAGGACAATGTCTGTCGGGTCATCTAGTATATATATAGTTCAATCTAATGCTCCGGATATCTATCGATATTGAAAATTAGTATAATGTCAATTTCATTTGCATACCCAAATAAATAATATAAAGTCTGAAAGAAGTAATATTTATAGATCTACATATATTTGAAATTATAGCGAACACTTGCCTTCGACTAGAACACTTACTGTAATTTTATTCTCGATTTTAAGGTAGTTTACCCTGCAATATATTTTATATTTCTAATTCTTTACTGTTTATTTGCAGGTTATGTTAAGACATCTCTGGTTTGGTCAAACAATCAAGCAGGCCGTCGACGCTCCCAGATTCCACCACCAGCTGTACCCGATGCTTATAAGTTACGAATATGGAATACTTGATGTAAATATTATTAGAATCCTTTTTATTTTTATCATTTAATAACATTGTTAACGACTGGTAAATTATAACAAACTTAAAACAATCCTCTTAAATGTGGAGGGAAATCTTGAGCAGAAGCTTACGGTAAGGTTCACACGCGATTGAAGTAAAACTTTTTTGCTATTGTACGAAATGGCATTTACGTAAAAATTAACACATCATATAACGATTTTAAATAATGTTTATTAGTAATACGTTTATTAGTAGATAGTCAACCATTATATATATAGTGAAAATTATAAACTAGTTGGTATTGGTATTTAGCCTTGAGGCAAGTTACATGAACTCCTCGATATATGTAAATAATTGACTTAATCAATATAAAAAAATTAATATATGAGTGATTAAAAGTATTCCGAGGGCATTCAGTACACATAATTTTTTTTTTTTTTTTTTTTTTTTTTTTTTTTATACTTTATTTAATAGCAATCAGAATTTACAAAATTCTATGAGCTATTATGCTTATGTTTAAACACACTCACACAGTAAACATACTCACACACAGTAATACACACACACATAATAAATTGGCTGAATTTTAAAAGTTTCAATAGCTGCCACTCCATCGAGTGGTCAGCTAATCTGGCTGAGGTAAATAATGGCTAAGTCTGGTCTTTATTGCTCAATCTTCAAATCAATTGGGACTTTTCTTTTGAGCCTCCTAGATCGGGGTTCTTGAAGAAGATGTTTAACTATGTCATTGGGATGGGATTCCAACTTCTCAAAATGGCGATGACTGGTACTGGTAATAACATCTTTCACAAATGGTATGTTCAAGTCATCATGAATGGTTTTATTACTGACATACCATGGAGCGTTCACGATCTGCCTCAGAATTTTTGATTGTGCTCGTTGGATTGAATCAATGTGGGATTTTCTTGCACATCCCCATAATTCCACACCATAGGTCCATATCGGCTTTATTATTGTTTTATATATTAGTAGTTTGTTTTCAATAGGCAATTTTGATTTGTTACCTATGAGCCAATAGAGTTCCTTAGCTCTATTTTTCACTAGAGCTATTTTTGATACTATATGTTGCTTCCAGGTTAGTTTGCTATCTAATATCATCCCGAGATATTTTGTTGAGTGTTTAACTGGAATTGTCTTATCATGAAATTGAACTGCTGGGCAAGAAGATTTGTTGAGTGTGAATATTACATGAGTTGATTTATTATCATTAATTTTTATACGCCATTTGCTAGTCCATTTTTCAATGACTCTTAGATGACTCTGGAGCCTTCTCGATGCAACAACTGGATCAGGATCGGAAGATAGAATAGCAATATCATCGGCAAATGTTGCAGTTGTTAAATTTTCATCTGTAGGAAAATCGCTAGTATAGAGCAGGTATAGATATGGACCCAGTACACTTCCTTGAGGGACTCCTGCTTCAACCAAGCAGGCTGATGAAGTTTCCATATTCACTTTAACTTTAAACCGTCTATTTTGAAGATACGATTCCAGCAATTTATGATACTCAATTGGGAGAGATGATTTTATCTTATACACTAATCCTTTGTGCCATACTTTATCAAAAGCTTGATTTACATCAAGGAAAACTGATGAGCAGAATTGTTTGTTTCTAGGGTGTTGTGGATGATGTTCACAATTCTATGGCATTGTTGAATCGTCGAGTGTTGTCTTCGAAAACCAAACTGATGGTCTGGAATTACATTAGTATTGTTTTGTATATGTTTAAGCAAAAGTTTTTCAAATACTTTTGATGCCACTGGTAGGAGACTAATAGGTCGGTAGGATGACAAATTATATGGGTCTTTACCGTTTTTGTGAATCATTTTAACTATTGAAGTTTTATAATGTACTGGCCAATAATTTAGCCTAATTATAGCGTTGAATAGGTATGTTAGTAGGATAAATCCCTTTTTGGGCATTTCCTTCAACAGTTCCGGTGTAATTGAGTCAAAACCAGCGGATTTATTAGTTTTTAGTTTAGCTATTTCTTTGAATACCATATTCAATGAAAAGAATTTAAGACAGTTGCTGCCCTTATTCACTGGTGCAAACGGGTTTAAATCCAGATCATTTGAAGAGATACGAACAGGATTTGGTTTTTAAAAACTGAGGATAGATGTTGGGCGAATAATTCAGCTTTTTCTCCATCGCTCCTTGCCCATGATAGATCATCACCTACTGCTCCTGTTATATCGTTACGGCGTAAAGGCGGATTCCTGAGAGCCGGTTTTAGCCTGTTCCTAATCGGTTTCCAGATAGAGTTATCATATCGATTTAAGCTTGTACATAATTATTAAAATTTTCCTCATTTAGTTCTTTAAGCCGAGATTTAAGCTTATTAGTCAAGTTGTTAAGAATGTTTTTGTCAGACGGTAAATGTGTATGTTGCCATTTGCGCCTAGCTTTACGTTTTCACTTAAAAGTTTTTTATTTCAAGTGGAATAGAATGTTTTTGATTTTGTTGATCTATAGGTGTAGCAGCCTTAACAGCTTCCAGCAGAGTTTTGTTGAATGTTGCAATACCATCTTCTATTTCCCGACATGTTTTGAGTTTCATTTTAAATTAGTATTTTTCTCAGTAATTTGGCGATATAGTTCCCAATTAGTTTTAGCAGAATGAGGTTTTGGAATTCTTTGCAGGTTCACAGCCGTAGAGAAATAGTTGCTATCACGGGGGAATGGTCTGATGAGAGGTCGTAACTAGGTTGTATTTCAACACATTTGAAACTTAGACCATTAGCGACAAAAAAGTCTAACAGATCGGGTTTCTCTTAGGATCGGCTGGCCAGTAGGTGGGTGTGCCCGTTGAAAAGGTGGAGAGAAACATGTCGAAGGATCATCTCATACAGTTGTTTACTTTTGGATTTGATATCCTTGAGCCCCAGAGAGAATGCTTACTGTTAAAGTCACCGCCAGCTATGAACTTTGAACCAAGCATTGAGAAATATTCGTAAAATTGGGAACTGTTAATAATATGTCGAGGTGGACAGTATACGGCTGAAATTACTAATTCGTAATCATCAGTTTTGTTTTGACAGAAGTTGCTTGATTTGTTCTTTACAAAAATTTTGCAGCTCATAGTGAACAATATCAGATTTTATTAGAATTGCCGTGCCCCCGTGGGCTGTTCCATCCGGATGAGGTGTGTGTACAATTTATAGTTCGGGACGTACATATTTGAGTAATGCGTAAAATGTGTTTCACTAACAAGGAGTATATCTATTTTATTCTCGAAAAGAAAAAACTGAATCTCATGTTTATGCTTCAAGAGCCCATTTGCATCCATAACGCAATCCTTATAAACCTCGCCATGGGTTTACTTTGTTTTATTATGAAAGCTGATAACATGTTTATGATCATGTTGTTTTGATTCATCAATTGTTGGAACATATTTTTGAATTCATTTAAGAAAATTGTTAAATTTCCAGCAGAGTTTTCACTGGTTTCATTAGCTGTTGATGAAATTGTTGTGATCTCATAACTTGTGCATATGTCATATGATGAGAATTTGCATGCCTTAC